TAGATGGTTGAGGCTGCAGTGAGCCCTGATTTTGCCACTTCCCTCCAGCATGGGTGACAGAGTGAGACCTTGTCTCAAAGAAGAAAAACAAAGATCTGGTATTGATTACATCACTAACCTCCAAAAGAGATAGGGTTGTTTTTTCCTCTGGGATTAAAAAAGAACACCCATGTCTTCTCCTGTTTGGCCTTCCCTGGTATCTGACACCTGGAGATGACTGTGGCGTAGCTGGTGGCTTCCAGCCTTGAGGCTCCAGGCAGTCCCCTCCCTTTGGACTTCCTCTAGCTCCTCCTTTTGAACTGGGAGCCCCTTTAGTATTCAGATGCCGGTGCTAGTGGCCAGCCACAAAGCCAGCTTTTCCCTTGGGACAAGGGCTTGGCCTCCAGGGAGCAGGCCAGCCTTTAGGAGTCACCCACTCCAACAGGACATGACATTCAAAATCACTTGAAAGTAGTTTCTTTGTGTTGTGTCTCACACCTGTAATCCCAATACTTTGGTGGCAGACCAAGGCAGGAAGATTGCTTGAGCTCAGGAATTTGAGGCCAGCCTGGGCAACATGGCAAAACCTTGTCTGTACAAAAGCACAAAAATTAGCCAAGCATGGTGGTGCACACCTGTAGTCCCAGCTACTCAGGAGATAGGTGGAAGAATTACCTGAGCCTGGGAGATGGAGGGTGCAGTGAGCCATGATTGCACTCCAGCCTGGGCAGCGGGGTGAGGCCCGTCCTTCCTACTCCCCCCGAAAAAGTAGCTTCTTTATTTAGCTTCCTTGTATTTTCAACATGCTGATCAGCCTCAGTTTGTGTTTTCTATTCCTGGAATACTTTATACAGTGAATTTGGATTCCACCTGGTTAGTCAAGGTCAGTGTTATGAATGAGGGTCTGGACCAGGAGCTGCAGGACAAGCTAGTTGCTTTTGCCGTGTTGCCAGGGGTCGGCCTCCAGACGGTAGCTCAGAGAAGCAGCATGTGCCTTTGGAGTCAGGCAGCCATGGAGGAGAGTGCTCCTGTCAGGATAGGCCACCAGTAAGCTTCTCTGGCTCCTGAATGCCTGCTCTGAGTGACCCTCAGCAGAGCTTTGGGAGGCCCAAATGGGAAGTGCCCAGCCTCCTGCCACATTGCCTCCTCCCCTGGCATTGTTCCTCACCCCTCACTTGCCATTTGATTGCTTTCCTGCTTGATGCACCTAGAGGCTGGTCCACAGACACACCTTCTCTGCCATTGTTCAGGTCTCAGCACCTGCACCTCCACCTACAGGGCTTCTCAGCTGTGGCACTGTGGGTGCTTTGGCCACGCCATTCTTTGCTGAGGGATGTCCTGTGCATTGTAAGATGCTCAGCATTCCTGGTCTCTGCCGACTAGATACTACCGCATCATCACCCTTTGTGACCACCAAAAGTGTCTCCAAACATTGCCAAATATCCCGTGAGGAGCAAAATTACCCCTAGGGGAGAACCACCGGGCTAACTGGTCTCCATGTTCCCTCTCTCAGCACGTTCCCTGCCCCAAAATCGGGTAATCTTTTTGATATCACCTTCAGGCAGGGCTCTGAGCCGAGGCCTTCAGGGGCTTCCATCTTGCTCAGGTTAGAATCTTAAGCCCTCCCTATGGTTCTCTAAGGCCTGAATAAGCAGGCTCCATGCCTTCTGCCTTCTTGAAGCCCTGCCAGCTGGTGCCCATCACCCCACCCAGCACCTTGACGGCTACTCCTCCCTGCATGGTAAGCTCACTCCCCATCTCACCCCAATCTCTGGTTCAGCATCACCTTGAAGGGGCCTTTCCTTACCACCCATTTAAACTCCCTTGCTGTGCTCTCCCCTGCAAGCCCCCACGTTGCCCAGTTTTTCTTTGTGGCACTTGGTACCACCTTCCCTGCATCTGTCTGTCTATCTGCCTGCTTCCCCCCTGCAGGAGAATGGGTGCTTAGCATTTGCCAGAATCCCTCTCCTCGGAGGGCAGCTGTGTTTGCTGCCCCTGTTTCCGGAGGAGGCACAAAGGATTTTGGTCCTGGGTTCCACTGGGAAGCCCACAGTCGTGTCACGTGTGCAAAGTAATGTGGGTTCATCTTAAACCAGCCACAACCCCTCCTGGCTTAGAAACATTGTTAGCATTTTGGCATCTTGTCCTTTTTCTGTTCAGAAACCTCTGATAGCTACAACTCTGTAAGAAATGTTAAGACAATAAATAGCTCATCAACTCTGAGGTGGTTGAGAATTTCAGAGCCCATGAGGACGGTTGAAATCTCTTAACCCCCCAACCCCAGATCCCCTGCTAGTAACAATTTTTTTAAAAACTATAAGCAGGCTACAATCCCAGCTACTCGGGAGGCTGAGGCAGGAGAATCGCTTGAACCTTGGAGGTGGAGGAGGAGAATTGCCTGAACCTGCAGCGAGCTGAGATTGTGCCACTGCACTCCAGCCTGGGTGACAGAGTAAGACTCTGTCTCAAATAAATAAACAAAGATAATCATATTAAAAAAAAAAAAAACCCCAAAAAAACAAAAAACTGCAAGCAGGGTACCTCTTAACAGTAGGGATTGGGTTTTATTCCAAGGCTTAGCTTTGTTCACACATCTGGTGTTTTCCCAGAGTGGGAAAACACAGTGCCCTCTAGTGTTTGCGTGCCGGGCCGGCTGGCACCTGTCACTTGCTCTTTGGAAGTGAAAGGGGAAGTAGAGGGCAGACTGTGCCCAGCAGGCATCCTCAGTCAGTGGCCACCACAGCTGCCTTCCATGTGCCCCAGAAATGAAGAGAGTTTTTATTTCTTTCATAAGCAGAAGAGTCGCTGTCTTTAAATGTGTAGACTTGCCAGAAGTCTCTTCCTGTCTCTGTAGCTCCAGGAAGAGATGACCTTTTTATGTGGTTAAGAGAACGGACCCTGGAGCCAAACTGCCTGAGTTCAGGTCCACTACTTAAGAGCTTTGTGACATTGAATGATTGCTTATTTTCTTTGTCTCAGTTTGCATATCTGCAAAATGAGCATGGCAGTGATGTGCTTCGTGGGTTGTGGAGCACTTCATGCATGAAAGCAGTGAAGCGCTTAGAGAGCTGCCTTGGCAGATAGGAAGCACCTGGTTAACATGAGGCTGAGGACTCCAGAGCTCTAGCATTCTCCAGGAACACAGCGGCTCCTTCCCGATGAGAAAGGCTTTATGAAGCAGGTTGCACACATGGAGGCAGGGAGAGGAGGACATTTGGAAGGAACTGTCCAGTGGACTGGCTCACAGATGGGAGGGTATGGGCTTATTTGGAGAAAGCCAGCGTCCATTATGGGTGGGGTATAGGGAGTTAGGAAGGAAAGTCATGAGAGAGATGATGGAGAGCCTCCCAAGTCATCCTGAGTCCTTCCAGACGCCATTGTCTCGGTATCTAATTCCCCATGGAAGGGATTGTAGCCACCATGTTACCATCTCCCAGCCCCTTGTCACTCCTGCTCTGTCCCCAGCACTGTCAGGGCTTTGGAGAAACGTAACTTCCCGTCACAGAAAGATCAGAAGAGCTGTAGAGCCCCTGGAGGCAGCATCCTGGTGGGGCCGAGCCACTTGTCTGGAGAGCCCCATGGGAAGGATGGCATTTGCTGCACTGGCTCCCTCTCCTGGGAGCACTGGGCACTGCCTGCCCTGCCAGCCTCTGGCCTTGCCATGATGCCAGCTTTCACCAGCTGTTTTGTTTCTGCTTCAGCTTCAGAGTTGACACCTCAGTTTCCCCTGCACTCCCAAGGGTGTGGTTAGGCTGAGCAGAGTGTCCCATCAATGACTGCACTGATTTAGGTCTGTGTCTGTGCTGTTCTCGCCTGCTTTCCTGGCTGCTCTCTCAGGGACCCATAAGTGGTGGAGGCAGCCCTCCCACCACACGTGGTGCAGTCCCCCTTGCACTGGACTCTGAAGTCCTGCAGCTTGTGGTTTCTCTGAGATCAGTTGTGACTTTTTAAAGTCTAAAATGGGACCAGGGGATTAAGATAGGATGGGGCAGTGCAAAAAAATACCATGTCTCAGAATGGAGAATTGGGCACAGAGGGTTACAGCACACAAAAGTGCTTACAGTTTAGCCGGGCGCGGTGGCTCACGCCTGTAATCCCAGCACTTTGGGAGGCCGAGGCGGGTGGATCACGAGGTCAAGAGATCGAGACCATCCTGGTCAACACGGTGAAACCCCGTCTCTACTAAAAGTACAAAACATTAGCTGGGCATGGTGGTGCATGCCTGTAATCCCAGCTACTCGGGAGGCTGAGGCAGGAGAATTGCCTGAACCCAGGAGGCGGAGGTTGTGGTGAGCCGAGATCGCGCCATTGCACTCCAGCCTGGGTAACAAGAGCGAAACTCCGTCTCAAAAAAAAAAAAAAAAAAGTGCTTACAGTTAGAAAAGTGGCACCATCACGCCAGCATGCCCCTTGAGCCTCCTGGGGTCTTGGAGCAGATGTAAGGAGAGCTTGGCCTTTCAGGGCTCTTCAGCCTGCACCTCTCAGGGCCAGTGATCACAGCTGCTGGCCTTGCTGAGTGCCTGCTCTCTACCATGCATCATGTGCCACCTGTGCACCCACTGCCTTGGTGACTCCGCCTTAGCCACGCTTGAGATGGCTGCTGTCATCCCTCCTTCCACGTGTCAGCAGAAGTGGTTTGCCTGAGGTTCTTGTGTCCGACTCAAGAACCGTTTTTTTTAAGGACTGGGCTTGTCATTTGAAACCTGAGCTCATAGCTGGACACAGTGGCTCAACACCTGTAATCCCAGCACTTTGGGAGGCTGAAGAGGGTAGATCACGGGGTCAGGAGTTTGAGACCAGCCTGGCCAACCTAGTGAAACCCCGTCTCTACTAAAAATACAAAAATTAGCCAGATCATGGTGGCATGTGCCTGCAGCCCCAGCTACTCAGTAGGCTGAGGCAGGAAAATCACTTGAACCCAGGAGGCGGAGGTTGCAGTGAGCCAAGATTGCGCCATTGCACTCCAGCCTGGGCAACAGAGCGAGACTCCATGTTAAAAAACAAAAAACAAAAAGCTTGGGTTCATGAGTTCCTGTGGACTGTCTGCACTGGTGGTTGGTGAAGGGGTCCTTTGCTTTTCTTTCCTTTTTTTTGTTGAGTCATGTTCTACTGGCAGAGTTTGTTTTAGTCTTCATTGCTAGCATTTAAGTGACCTTGAGCCAGTATCTTCCTTTTTCAGCAACTCAGTTCTCCTTTCTTGGTGGTGACCTCTCAGTGCCCCAGGTCAAGAGAGGCTGCCACCGCAGAGTGTCTGGTTGGCTGTTTGAGGAAACAGCTCTCTAGGCACGTGGTTTGGGGTCTTGGAAGTAGACACACGCGGAGACCTGTCCATGATTATGACTCAGTAAAGAACCATAAAGGAGCTGCCCCAGGCTTGAGGAACCAGCAAAAAAGAAGGCAGGCTGGCCTGGTGGAAGCATCTCCTGCCTAGGCTGTTGGGATGTGGAGCAGCAGGAGGCAGCGGTTGCTGCTAGCTGTGCATAAAGGGACAGTCAGATGCTCCTGCAGTTGGCCAGGCTCCAAGAGCCAGCCGTCCTGAGGGTTACTCAGCAGCCTGTAGGGCTCTACAGCGCAGCAGATAAAGTGCAGGCCACAGCTGGTCAGGAGGATAACCCAGATTAGAACGTGATGTCCGGTGATAGCCGGGCTTCAGGGTGACCCAGCACAGCCCGGTGTCTTGCTCCTCTCCCAGCCCACTCTCTCTCAGCACTGATCAGCCAGGGGCAGGTACTTGCAGAGGGCAGAAAAACGATTTAACACAAAGCAAATATTTTGTTCTCTGTAGAATGGGCTGTTAAATCCTTAATTAAAGTGCGGCCTTATGTGATCTGTCATTGAACTGCATTCAGCATGAGGAAGAATACTTCCGGTCAGCTGAGTGTTTGCCGTTGGTGGGCGACACAGTGACCATAGGGGTACCGGGAGGCCTGCGGGTGACTCGCTCTGCCGGTGAGTCTAGGTGCTGGTTGGAGGTGTGTGTAGTCTGTGAAAATGCTTCTAGCCGAACACAGGATTTGTGCACTTAGCAGTGTGGATGTGACACTTCAGAAGAACTTGGAAGAAAAATGTATTCTGTGGTGGCTTCAGAACCCATTCTCTCACACTGGTATTTCCTTTTACAGCTGAAACTAGAGGACCGTTCTGTGGTACCCCGAGATGTGGTCCGGCACATGCGATCCACTGTGAGTCCTGCATCCCCACCCCAGCCCTGGGCCTGGGGGCAGCCACCTTGGGGACTTGAACCTGCCCACCTCGCACTCTGTATGTGGGAGAGCTGGTCAGCTCTGCAGGGGACACGCTGGGGTGGCCTGGGCTGGGTCTCCCATGGGGACCAGGGCTGCTGTGCCTCGGGGCTTGCATGCCTCCTCCCTCCCCCAGGACAGTCAGTGTGGCACAGTGATTGACGTCAACATCGACTGCGCCGTCAAGCTCATTGGCACCAACTGCATCATCTATCCCGTCAACAGCAAGGACCTGCAGCACATCTGGGTGAGCCAGCCCTGTCTTCTCATCGTCCTTCCTGGGCCCTCTGGTTCTCTAGGACATGACCTCAGGGCTGTAGCCTTCTCTGCGCTCTTGCCAAGCACAGCCTTCCTGGATCAGAAGGCAGAGCACAGCAACCAGCTGGCTCCTGTAGCCTTGTTTTTGCTGCTTTCCAGTAAGCCATTTAGACACGAGGTCAGGAGGTGCCCTTCCCCAAACCCAGCATAGACTGCTGGTATGGTTGTCTTTAACTGGTTTCCTTTCACCGCTAATATTTCTTTTTAAAAAAATTATTTTCAATAATTTTATTTTTTAAATAATTTCAAACCTACCAAAAAGTTGTAAATTCCTGTGTCCCTCTCATCCAGGTTCCTCAGCTGTTAAGATTTCACTCCGTTTGCTCCATCACCTTCCCTCCCTCCTTCTCCCCCAGATCCCTCTCCGGTCTTTTTTATTCCCAGAACATTTTGGGAATAAAAAAGAGCAAGCTACAGATATGATGCCCTGTCACCCACCCCTGAATACACCTCTCTGTATTTTCCAAAAACAAGGACAGCCTCCAGTGTAACCACCATTTAGCCCCCAGATTGAGAAGTGGACATTGATAATTACTGTCTCGTCCATAGACCGAATTCAGTTTGTCCCAACTCTACTCTTTTTTTGTTTTTTTCCGGATCCAGGACCCAATTCAGGAATGCGTCTTGCGTTTAGTTGTCACCTCTTTAATTTCTTTCCAATCTGGAATCATTTCCCAGCCTATCTTTGTCTTCCATGTCCCAAACAGTGATACATTCAGTAACTTGACCTTCAGCCTGGGTCTGTCTGGTATTGCCTCATGCCCACGCATTCATGGCAGGCCTGCCACAGAAATGCCACTGAGCTTTGCGCTGGTTCATGGTACCCTGTAGACAAAGTGTTGGGGTTGTTCACTTTGATCCCTGGTCATGTTGGTGTCCTCCAGGTCTCTCCACCATAAACTCACCATTTACCCGCTTAAGTGATCTGTGGGAACATAGTCCCGGATTATGTCGATGAACTACCTATCATTTGTCAAACTGAAATCCGTCAGCTTTGACCTCCATTCACAGTTCCGCCTGCACCAGCCATTGCTCTGATGTTGCTAAATGGTGGTTTTATGACTCCCTGGCTGCCCCCCATTTCTTTTTTTTTTTTTTTTTGTGTGTGTGTGACGGAGTTTCACTCATGTTACCCAGGCTGGAGTGCAATGGCGCGATCTCGGCTCACCGCAACCTCCGCCTCCTGGGTTCAGGCAATTCTCCTGCCTCAGCCTCCTGAGTAGCTGGGATTACAGGCACGCGCCACCATGCCCAGCTAATTTTTTGTATTTTTAGTAGAGACGGGGTTTCACCATGTTGACCAGGATGGTCTCGATCTCTTGACCTCGTGATCCACCCGCCTCGGCCTCCCACAGTGCTGGGATTACAGGCTTGAGCCACCGCGCCCGGCCTATTTATTCATTTTTTAAAATCAGTATGGACTTAGAGATTTCTGTTTTATCCATTGGTTGTAATTAATTGCTACTATTACCTGTCCTGTTGCTTAGGTGATCCCAGATATAGCCAATGGGAGCCTCTTCAGGCTGGCTTTCATGTCCTTTTCACATGGCCCTTTATGTTGTTTTTTTAAGTATTTTCTTTCTTTCTGGCATGAGACGTGCTATGCCAGGCTCATCTTGCACTTTTTGTGATCCAGCCCCAGAATCAACCATTTCTCCAAGAAGCCTCATTGCGTTCAAAGAATGGAATTTTTAAAACCCAAATCTGGATGCTTGGTGTACTAATTGCTACTTGGCCCTTTTGGGACACACTAGGAAATACACATGTATTACATGTATACACACATCTAAATATGTCACTACCTATTCTATGTGTATGTAAAGTATATGAGTTCAGGCCAGGCACGGTGGTTCATGCCTATAATCCCAACACTGAGAGGCTGAGACAGGTGGATCACTTGAGCTCAGGAGTTCAAGACCAGCCTGGGTAACATAGCAAAACCTCATCTCAACAACAAAAAAAAAAATATGAAAAAATTAGCCGGGCATGGTGATGCATCCCTGTAGTCCCAGCTACTCAGGAGACTGAGGTGGGAGAATCACTTGAGCCCAAAGACAGAGGTTGCAGTAAGCCAAGAAGATCATACCATTGCACTCCAGTCTGGGCAACAGAGCAAGACCCTGTCTCAACAATAGAAATAAAATAAAATATATAAGTTCATCCTGATACATCCAATTCCACTTAAATACCTCGGATGACTCTTCCTTCTCCTCCTTCCTTCTCCCCTTCTGTTAGTAAACACCTGGCACCTTCAACAGTGAGGGACTCGGCTGTCAATATCCTTGATATGCCAATGGACTTACTCAGAACACTGTCCATATAGCCACCCCTCAGCGGTATGGCTGCCTCCTCTGCCTGCTGCCTCCACAGCCTACTTGCCAGTTGTCCTGTGTCCATGGATGTCCCATGTCCATGGATGCCATCAGGCCTCTGTCCCTGGATAACCCACCCCGTTACCTCTAGGCAGTCCCACCACCACCACCACCACCACCACCACCACCACCACCACTTCCTTCTCACTGGGAAGAGCAGCTGGGATGCAGCCTAGAACTTGTAGGGATGGCCTGCTGCAGCAGCTATTTAGGACTGGTAGCCAACCGGTCCAGGCAGTGGGCTGTCTAGATCCTTCCCCTCACCTGTCTCAGTGGGGCATAGAGGAATCTGTGCCCTGGACATGAGTGTTGCCTGCTGTGTCTCACTGCCCCTGCTCCTTTGGTCTGCAGCCCTTCATGTATGGGGACTACATTGCCTATGACTGCTGGCTGGGGAAGGTCTACGACTTGAAGAACCAGATCATCCTGAAGCTATCCAACGGCGCCAGGTAGAGTCTCACCACCAAGGAGCCATTGGCTTGGGAAGGACAGCTTCTTGGAAAGAGGGGAGGAAGAGGGTGTTTCCTCCTGGGGCCAGTGATGACAAGTTTGATCAAGAGCAGTGACAGATGTTGATGGCATCCAGGGCCTGCAAAGCAGGGCCTAACCCTGTGGCATTCTCTTCATCTGCCATGGCCTAATTCTGTTGCTCAGTTTCTGATCTGTCCTGCCATGGGGAGAAGCGTATTCATTGAGGATATCTGCTAGGGGCTGGTGCTTTACTTGAGGCACTGTGATGGTGCTGAGCACTCCAGTGGCACTTGGGGTCTTGTTCATTGTGGGAGAGTTTTTTGTACTACCTCGGGCTGAGCTGATGGTGGAAGATGAATTTTGCTGTTTCGGGCACTTGGTGTATTGGCATCTTGGGATCGCAACTGTTTGGTACTCACTGTGTCCCCTGGTGGAGACCAAGCCTCTGTTCTCTGTTTTAGGTGCTCCATGAACACGGAGGATGGTGCCAAGCTCTACGACGTCTGCCCTCACGTCAGCGACTCGGTAGTGTGCTCTGTCCAGGCCACGCCCTTCTCTGATTGCTCAGTCCTCTGGAAGGAGGACTTCTTTGCAAAGAGCTTGTAGCTGGCCCTGGCTAAACAGAGTGGTTTCCTGGAAGAGGGTTGGGTGTGTGCCAGAGGCTCTAAAAGTTTGGGTATAGGCGGAAAGTATTAGAACTTTTTTTTTTTTTTTCTGAGACAGTCTTACTCTGTCACCCAGGCTAGAGTGCAGTGGCGTGATCTTGGCTCACTGCAACATCTGCCTCCCGGGTTCAAGTGATTCTTTGGCCTCATTCTCCTGAGTAGCTGGGATTACAGACATGTGCCACCATGCCTAGCTAATTTTTGTATTTTTAGTGGAGATGAGGTTTCACCATGTTGGCCAGGCTGGTCTCAAACTTCTGACCTCAGGTAATCCACCCACCTCGGCCTTCCAAAGTGCTGCAATTACAGGCGTGAGCCACTGTGCCTGGCAGTATTAGAACTTTTATTTGCATTTCTATTAGCCTTTTTCTCTCATTCTTTGAAGTCCCACTGTTGCTCTCTCAATACAGGATGATATATTAGTTACAATAGTACATGGACACAAATAGCAAACAAGTAGATAGACAGGGGGTGTATGAGCAAACAGGTTTCAGGACCACTGCTCTCTGGAGCCTTATTCCTCAGGGTGTGAGCCCTTGACCGAGGAGCATGGAATGAGTCAGCCTACATTTGAACAAGGGTGCCAGGGGACCTCGACGCACCCAGGGTTTGGGAAGTGCTGTTCTTGAGCCACACGACTTGTTTTAGGGCACGTAGCGCCTATGTGTGAGTGGGCTTCTGCAGGTGGGCAGCCGGCAGGCACAGGTGTGGAGAGCACGGTCACCCAAGGAGGCATTGCTCACAGGGACTTTCCTCTGGCCCCAAATCCCACAGGGTCTCTTCTTTGACGATTCCTACGGCTTCTACCCAGGCCAGGTGCTCATTGGCCCCGCCAAAATCTTCTCCAGCGTCCAGTGGCTGTCAGGTGTCAAGCCCGTGCTCAGTACCAAGAGCAAGTTCCGAGTGGTGGTGGAAGAGGTGGGTCCGGGCCTAGGGGCAGGAGACAGAGTCCTTGACCTCCATGCCCTGGAGCTGAGCTGCTGCCCCTTTCCTGCCTGCTCTGAGGGTTGAGCCCCACTCTTCAGCTTCTGGACCCTGTTGATCTCAAAGGGCTTTAAGGATAAGGGGAACCCAAGCTCTGGTCATAGTGACCAAAAGACAGATGTCCCCCAGCCCAGCCTGAGCAAGGTGGGAGGGTGGTGAGTGGCCACCAGTGGCCCCTGGCTGGTATGAGCAGTGACACTGGTCCTGGGTGTTGCATCGGGACCGTGGTTACAGTCGGGGCCTACTCTGATGCGTTTGTACTTGGTGCTGCACTAGGAAGATCAGTTTCTTCCTCTGGAGGTCAAGTGGGCCCTGGGCAGTTGGCTAAAGAGTGCAGTCAGAGCCTGCCCTGACTGGTGTGTCCCACCTGCCATCCCCAGGTGCAGGTTGTAGAGCTGAAAGTTACATGGATTACAAAGAGTTTCTGTCCAGGGGGCACGGACAGCGTCAGCCCCCCACCCTCTGTCATCACCCAGGAAAACCTAGGCAGGTGAGCATGCCCTACTGCCAGCAACCCAGGGGCATGTGTGGGACAGGGTTCTGGGCCCCGGCCACAGATACCTGGGGAGGCTGGAGAACACTGCTGGCCTCCCAAGAGTTCAGCCTGGCTCACCCCCACTTCTCCCTCAACCAGGGTGAAGCGTCTCGGATGCTTTGACCATGCTCAGCGGCAGCTTGGGGAGCGCTGTCTGTATGTCTTCCCAGCCAAGGTAGAGCCAGCCAAGATTGCCTGGGAATGTCCAGAAAAAAACTGCGCCCAGGGGGAGGGCTCTATGGCCAAGAAGGTATGTCCTTGGGGTTGGGGGTTGGTGGGCATTTGAGGAACTGGCCTTGAGCCATTTCCATGGCCAACAAGGACAGTCTGTGCTTTAGGCCTTGGTGGGCAGCAGTCCTGATGACCCTTGCCGGCTACTCAGGTGTATACAGCTGTCATCCTCACAGCTGTGTCCTCTCTGCTTCGCCCTTGCAGGTGAAGCGCCTGTTGAAGAAGCAGGTTGTGCGGATCATGTCATGCTCCCCGGACACCCAGTGTTCCAGGGACCATTCCATGGAAGACCCAGACAAGAAGGGGGAAGCCAAAGCCAAGAGTGAAGCAGACTCCGCCAGCCCTGAGGAGACACCTGATGGCTCTGCCAGCCCAGTGGAGATGCAGGACGAGGGCGCAGAGGAGCCCCACGAGGCAGGAGATCAGCTGCCCCCATTCCTGCTAAAAGAAGGTAGAGACGACAGGCTGCACTCGGCAGAGCAGGACGCAGATGATGAGGCTGCTGATGACACGGATGACACCAGCTCAGTGACCTCCTCCGCCAGCTCCACCACTTCCTCCCAGAGTGGCAGTGGCACAAGTCGCAAAAAGAGCATCCCCTTGTCCATCAAAAACTTGAAGCGCAAACACAAGAGGAAGAAGAACAAAATCACCCGAGACTTCAAGCCAGGGGACAGGTAAACTCAGAGTTGTGCCCCTCCCTCATGGCATCAGCATGAAGCCAGGCAGAGCGCATGTCCCCTCAGTGTGCATGCCTGTGCTTGCACACACACTCTGCACACCTTGTAGTGGCTCAAGTGCCTGGGGTAGGCCCTGGTGGAAAGCAGAGACTTAGGAATGGTACAGAGGGTGGAATGGTGGTGGTGGCCTTAAGCTTGGCCTTCTGGGACCACATTTGCCTGAGCTCTCCCAAGTGGGTCCGTTCTCAGAGAATGCATGGCCTTGGAAGCCTGGGTTAGCTTCCTGCGCACCAGAGACTCATCCTGCCGGCCTGGGACTCAGAGTTTCAGGTTACCGAGCCCGCAGGGATGGGAAGGGACAGAAAGATTCTCTGCCCTTTCCCTAGGGTGGCGGTGAGGGAGGGGGGGTGTTTTTGCATGGCCTGCTGACTGGCCTGCACCTGGCAGGGTGGCAGTGGAGGTGGTGACCACAATGACCTCAGCTGACGTGATGTGGCAGGATGGCTCCGTGGAATGCAACATCCGCTCCAATGACCTCTTCCCCGTGCACCACCTGGACAACAATGAGTTCTGCCCCGGAGACTTCGTGGTAGATAAGCGAGGTAGTGCCAGCTCTGGAAGGGCAGCCAGCGGGGTGGTCGCCGATGAGGGCCCAGGTTGGGGTTTGGGGAGAACAGGCAAGGGATCTGGGGTCAGAGCTAAAATGAGGTCGGGAAGGGGACTACCTTCATGAATGGAGCTCGCCATTTCCAAGACGGGGGAAGGTCAGAGTTCTGCACCCTGCACTGGCTTGAGACGTGGGCTCCTTAGCCCGGATCCCTTAGCTAGTGGCGTCCCTTCCTCTGGTTCCCTAGTCCAGAGCTGTCCAGACCCTGCTGTCTACGGTGTGGTACAGTCTGGCGACCACATCGGTCGTACCTGCATGGTGAAGTGGTTCAAGCTGCGGCCAAGTGGGGACGACGTGGAGGTGTGTGCAGCCCCTACTGCTTTCTTCAGTTGGGCTCTGGGGTTAGGTGTAGGCCCCTAGCTCATGATGGCCTGTCCTATGCCACAGCTAATTGGAGAAGAGGAAGATGTGAGTGTTTACGACATTGCTGACCACCCTGACTTTAGGTTCCGTACAACTGACATCGTCATCCGCATCGGCAATACTGAGGATGGGGCTCCTCACAAGGAGGATGAGGTATACTTTCAAATTCAAGTTCTGGATCGCTGCTCCCTGCCCTGTGCAGTAGCTGCAGTCCCTGATGCTGCCACCAGGTGGCTCTAGGACACAAGACCTGAAAGTCCCCTGGCTCATTGTCACCAGGAGAGCAGCTGCAGAAGGACTTGTTTCCCTGCCTCTCTGCCGGGGTCAGGCTTCTTGAGCCGCTGCTGGTTATGTTTACCAGAGGAGCTAAGTTCCTTGTCACAAGCCGGGTGGGCATGATGTCAGTCACTGCAGAGCACAGGAGGGCTGGGGAGCTGGGGCTGGAGCTGGGCCCCCTGACTCTGTCCCCTTTGCCCAGCAGCCATCAGTAGGCCAGGTGGCCCGTGTGGATGTCAGCAGCAAGGTGGAGGTGGTGTGGGCTGACAATTCAAAGACCATCATCTTGCCCCAGGTGAGGCTCTGCCAAGTCCCCCTGCTGGGCTTGTGACTATGGCGGCTTGGGCTGGGGCCACAGTCGTGTAGCCTGAAGGTGGGCTCTCAGGTCTTCCTAGTGTGATCTCAGTGAAAGCCTGAGGAGAAAGGCAGGCATTCCACACAGCCCTGGGTGCGGGGTTGGGGGCAGCCCACAGGTAGCCCACCAACCTCACTTCTCCCGTCCATCGCTGGGTGCATGTAGATTTTCACAAACCTCCAGGATTTTCCTGGATTATCACTATGCTAAGAAGAATGCAAGTTCCTTCCTAAAAGGAGATGGAGACTTTCCTATCACCCTTTCTAGAAAGCTCTAACAGCGAAGGAGAGAAAGGAGAGAGCTGGCCCCATTCTAGCCCCAGCTGCTGGGTCCTGAGCTGAAGGGCCACACGGGCTCTCCTTCCCTCGCCTCCCTGGCTGGAGCCGCACAGCCCAGCTCTCCTCTCCTGGCTCCTGCATAGGGGGTGGGGGTGGGGCAGGGCAGGGTCAGGAATGGCTTGCCCCATCACCTTAATGGTCATTCCAGGGAAGGCAGCAGGATGTGCTGGCCCTTCCACACGTACCCTCCTAACATATGTTCCCAGCTCCCAGTGCAGCCCCACACGGGCCTCCCTGCCTGCATCATTAGCTGACCCTGAGCTTTTCAGGTGTGGGGCTGGGCCTGCCAACGTCGCCTGCCTCCTTGGGCAGATGCTGACCAAGTGCACAGAGCAGGAGGGGAGGCTGGAACAGACCACTGGCTGGGACTTTGGGTCCAGATTGGGGGTGGGACAGGTGGAGGGCCTCTCCCAGAGACCTAGGGACTGCAAAGTCCAGAGCACAGGGCGGGGAATGAGTGGAATGAGGTTGCCAAGGCCTCATGAGCCCAGTCCCCATCAGCTGTGCAGATCAGGGATCCCCAGAGCTCTTCCTTTGTGGTAGGGAGGTAACTTCCTGTCTGCATTACCCTGGCACTTCCCTTCTGCCCCCAGCACTTGTACAACATCGAGTCTGAGATCGAGGAGTCAGACTATGATTCAGTAGAAGGCAGCACCAGCGGGGCATCCTCTGATGAGTGGGAAGATGACAGTGACAGCTGGGAGACGGACAATGGGCTGGTGGAGGATGAGCACCCCAAGATAGAGGAGCCCCCCATCCCACCCACGGAGCAGCCAGTGGCCCCTGAGGAGGACAAGGGAGTGGTGATCAGTGAAGAGGCAGCCACAGCTGCTGTCCAGGGGGCTGTGGCCATGGCCGCCCCCATGGCCGGGCTGATGGAGAAGGCTGGCAAGGACGGGCCTCCCAAGAGCTTCCGGGAGTTGAAAGAGGCCATCAAGATCCTGGAGAGCCTCAAGAACATGACTGTGGAGCAGCTGCTGACGGGCTCGCCCACCTCTCCCACTGTGGAGCCTGAGAAGCCAACTCGGGAGAAGAAGTTTCTGGATGACATCAAGAAGCTACAGGAAAACCTCAAGAAAACCCTGGACAATGTGGCCATTGCAGAGGAGGAGAAAATGGAGGCAGTGCCCGACGTAGAGCGCAAGGAGGACAAGCCCGAGGGGCAATCACCTGTGAAGGCCGAGTGGCCCAGTGAGACACCGGTGCTCTGTCAGCAGTGTGGTGGCAAGCCTGGTGTCACCTTCACCAGCGCCAAGGGCGAGGTCTTCTCCGTGCTGGAGTTTGCGCCCTGTGAGTCAGCCTTTGCCCAGTCTTCACCTTCCCCCACCTTCTTAGGGCTCCTGTTTGTGTCACCAGATCTGGGTGCGGGTGGTTAGGTGGTTAGTCCTCACTGGCCCCCAACTCCTGGCCCAGGGGCAAACAATTTCCCTGTGTGGTTACAGTGCTGAGGCCAGCAGCGGCAAGTGGGAAGTCTGTGGGTGTGCTCATCTGTCCAGCCAGGTTTGCAGATGGAGAGCTCCAGGGCCTCTCCATGAGTGACTGACTACTCTCTTTCCTCTTCTCTAGCAAATCATTCTTTTAAGAAAATTGAGTTCCAGCCTCCAGAAGCTAAGAAGTTCTTCAGCACAGTGCGGAAGGAGATGGCACTGCTGGCTACCTCACTGCCTGAGGGCATCATGGTCAAGACTTTTGAAGATAGAATGGCAAGTAGGCTTGGCATGGGCAGGTGCAGATGTGCTGTGTGGGCACCCAGTGCCCAACAGGCCACCAGCCTTGGGTCCTCAAAGCTCCAGGGCTGACTGGCACCTGTGAGGACACCCACCCACCCACCTTTTACAGGGGCGGTCACAGGTGCAGTCAGGTGAGGGCTGGCGGAAAGCCGTGTGTCCAGGCCAGATGGTTTTCTTTTCTCCCTCCTTTAAAAAATGAGTTTGAAATTCATTATATTATGAGTACTCCTCAAGCCTGCTCTTCTTTTTGAAATATTAGAACATTACAGATCCTTTGAGTGGAAATAGAAGAGCTAAAGTTGCCTTTGACCGGCTCTCACTTCCTTTTCTTCCTGAATCATAGGCCTCTTCCCACACCCAGAGGACTGCTGGAAGTTTAGTGGGTCTCCTTCCAAATACATGACCACCGATTACCTTTTTTTATGTATTTTTACATTTTTTATACATTAAAAGAGTATTTTGACATGTTCATGTATCACCATAAGTACAGAGTATTTTGTATGATTTGTTTATACAGAGTATTTGCCTTTTTTTTTTTTTTGGTTGGAGATGAAGTCTCACTCTGTCGCCACGCTGGAGTGCAGTGGCCTGATCTCAACTCACTACAGCCTTTGCCTTCTGGGTTCAAGTGATTCTCCTGCCTCAGCCTCCCAAGTAGCTGGGACTACAGGCCCGTGCCACCACACTCAGCTAATTTTTGTCTTTTTGGTAGAGACGGGGTTTCACCATGTTGGCCAGGATCATCTCAGTCTCTTGACCTTGTGGTCTGCCTGCCTCGGCCTCCCAAAGTGCTGGGATTATAGGTGTGAGCCACTGCGCCCGGCCCAGAGTATGTCATTGTATATACATCATCTCTAATTTGCTTAAGACCTACCCATGTTGATTTGTAATGATCTAGTTTCTTCCTTTTTACCTACAAAATAGGACAACATGTGGCCACACCACATTCCATTTTCCCACTCTTCTGTTTGTGGACTGGGCCTAGTGTCTCTGAGTCATGTTTACTGAGGCAGCATGAATGCCTCCTCCGGGAACAGGCAAGCCCGTTTGCCTGCCACCTTGTTTACTCAGCAATCCCTTACTGGGCCTGTGCTTCAAGCCAGGCACCATGCTAGACTCTGAATCTGAGTCTGAGGCCCCAGCTCTGGCCCTGTCCTGGAAGGAAGAGGGCAAAGAAAGGAAAGAGCAGGGATCCTGCGAGCTGCCGAGAGGGGCGCTGTTGAGATGGGCCTGGAGCAGCCCCTCCCTGGAACAGGGCTAGGCAGAGTCGTAAGTCCAGTGCTGCTTGAGATTCTTAATAACGCTTTTGTTTTTTGCTTGGGTTATAGTAAAATTCCTTTGGAAAATTCTAGTTTTTCTCAGCTGTGCTGAGGGAAAACAGGAACAGTATTTTTTGGTTTGTTCTGTTTTCCCAAAATCTCAACTCAGGAGAAGAAAAGTAGTGTGTTCTCTGGAGGCTCCCAGGGTGGCACCAATAAGAGCATGCATGAGCGGTTCCCTCACCCCAGCTGGCGCTCTGCCCTTGTTGCTTCTCAGCTCATCACTGACCTCGCCCATTGCCCTGGCAGTTGAGATCACACACACACACACGCGCACGCAAATAGATGCACAGATTCCAGATGTCTGTGGAACAGTGGTCTCCCAACATTTCCCCTGGAGTTCAAACCCTCACTGTCAGCTTCTGGTGGAGAGACCATCCCTAATTCCCCAGGCCCCACCATCCTGGAACTGCCTTTCAGCTTGGAACTGTTTGTACTACTTGCCTTGTGGGAGATAAGGGTTGGGGCAGGTGTTTAGAGGAGTCTTTTTGTTTTGTTTTTAAGAGACAAGGTTTCATTCTATCACCCAGGCTGGAGTGCAGTGGTGTGATCATAGCTCACTGCAGCCTCAACTTCCTGGACTCAAGTGATCCTTCCACTTTGATTAGCTAGGATTACTAGCTAATCAAAGTGTGTGCACCACCATGCCCAACTAATTTTGTATTTTTTGTAGAGATAGGATCTCACTATGTTGCCCAGGCTGGTCTTGAACTCCTGGCCTCAAGCAGTCCTCCCACTTTGGCCTCACAAAAGTGCTGGGATTACAGGTATAAGCCATCACATCTGGCTGAGGAATACAATTTTAAGTAATGATTTGTGAGGAAAAGCACCTGATAAGATAAAAACTCATTTAGAATATTTCTCTTAGACAGGGTTCAAAGATTCCAGGTAAGGGCCGGGCACAGGGGCTCATGCCTGTAAACCCAGCGCTTTGGAAGACTGAGCCAGGCAGATCACTTGAGCCCAGGAGTTTGAGACCAACCTAGGCAACATAGTGAGACCCTGTTTCTACAAAAAATAAATCAGCCAGGCATGGTGGCACACACTGTAGTGCCAGCTACTTGGGAGGCTGCAGTGAGCCATTATTGCACTAGTACACTCCAGCCTGGATGACAGAACAAGACCCCTTCTCCAAAAAAAAAAAAGATTCCAGGCAGTTTGGCACAGAGGTATTTGTGCTTAGCTTCTCCACTGCTGGTGACATCTGGAGTCCCAGGTGCCCTTCCCGCTTCATCTGCGCAGTGTCCTGAGAAAGGGCAGATGTAGATACCACATGCAGGACACCCCCCTTACACCCTGCCAACCTCAGCCTCCCTCCCTCCCTACATAGGACCTCTTCTCAGCCCTCATCAAGGGCCCCACCCGAACCCCCTACGAGGACGGCCTCTACTTGTTTGACATTCAGCTCCCCAACATCTACCCAGCCGTGCCCCCCCACTTCTGCTACCTCTCCCAGTGCAGTGGCCGCCTGAACCCCAACCTGTATGACAATGGGAAGGTGTGCGTCAGCCTCCTGGGCACCTGGATTGGAAAGGTGAGTGTAGTGCCAGGCCCCCAGCCAAGAAGGAGGAAGAGCCAGTGGGGCATAGGGGCCAGGGGAACAGAATTGATGGTGTCCTGTGTGTTTCAGGGGACAGAGAGGTGGACGAGCAAGTCCAGCCTTCTCCAGGTGCTCATCTCCATCCAAGGTATGGTTGGGCTGAAGCAGGGGTGCGGACAGGGAGGGCCAATGGAGGGAAGTGACTAATGGGTCCCTGGAGGGTGGAGGGTAAGCCTGCGCCATGGGCTTCTCCCACCCACTGTGGGAAGGTGTCCCTCTCCCACAGGTCTGATCCTGGTGAACGAACCATACTACAACGAAGCCGGCTTTGACAGTGACCGGGGCCTGCAGGAAGGCTATGAGAACAGTCGCTGCTACAATGAGATGGCGCTGATCCGTGTGGTGCAGTCCATGACCCAGCTGGTGCGGCGGCCCCCTGAGGTCTTTGAGCAGGAGATCAGGCAACACTTTAGCACTGGTGGCTGGCGGCTGGTGAACCGCATCGAGTCCTGGCTGGAAACCCACGCCCTGCTGGAGAGGGCCCAGGCTCTGCCTAATGGGGTCCCCAAGGCCAGCTGCTCTCCAGAGCCCCCAGCTATAGCCGAGCTCTCAGACTCCGGCCAACAAGAACCTGAGGATGGAGGGCCAGCTCCAGGAGAGGCCTCCCAGGGCTCAGACTCAGAGGGCGGTGCGCAGGGCCCAGCCTCAGCTAGCAGGGACCACACAGACCAGACTTCAGAGACCGCACCAGACGCATCGGTGCCGCCCAGTGTCAAACCAAAGAAGCGGAGAAAGAGCTACCGGAGCTTCTTACCTGAGAAGAGTGGCTACCCTGACATCGGCTTCCCCCTCTTCCCGCTTTCCAAGGGTTTCATCAAGAGCATCCGGGGTGTCCTGACGCAATTCCGGGCTGCCCTGCTAGAGGCAGGCATGCCGGAGTGCACAGAGGACAAGTAGGTGCCAGGCACAGAGGAAGGAGCATCACCGTGGGAGAGACTAGCCGCCGTCTGCTCACTCCCCCCGGAATCGCCCTCTTCCCATGCCCCTCTGTCCCCACTGCAAGCCCTCACTGCCCTCTTCTCCCCAAGGTGAGTTTGATGCTGAAGTACAAGAAGTATGCTGAGATGCCGCCATTTATTCTGAAGTGAGATTTCAACAGGCGGTCCCCCGTGGCAAAGAAAATCGGAACCTTGTTGCTGATTTTCCATTTGTCACCCCAGCAGAATGTCCCGGCACTTGCTCCCTTGCTGTCCCTTCTCAGGTCAGAGGTGGGTATTCCAGGGCTTGCCGCTGGGCTCTCTGGGCCGGTGCCCTGCAGACCCGCAGGAGAGCAGATGTGCCTTGCATGAAGTGTGGGTTGCGCCAACAATTCCCCTGGTCCTTTTCAGCCTCTTCAATTCAACTTGAGCCTCCCTGTGTCCCAAACCCTCCTGCTGCCACCTCCACCAGGTCCTCCTCCCTAGTCCCCCAGCGTCAACACTATCCCTTGGGAGTTGTAGCTGCTGTCACTGACTCCCAGCTCTACACTGGCCTGTCGACCACATTGTAGCCCCCAGGCCTGTTGAACTTGCTCTCTAAGAGAGGTTGGGACCAGGCTGGGTTCAGGGTGACACCCATTAGAGGTGGTGGCCTTCATATATGCACACGGAGTTGAGGACCAGGGAGCTGCGGGGAAAGCAACAGCTGTAGGTGCCTTGCTCTCCTGTTGGAGGTTGCTGGGGCGAGAGCAGCTGCACAAGGCCAGGGCAAGTGCTAGGGCCTCTCCCCCATCACATGGTCACACTGGGACGTGGCGTGCAGCTCACTGAACTCCGAGCGAGCCAGCCCTCTCTTGGACTAGGAGGAGGCCTGCTGTCAGCCCTTTGCTTACAAACTGCAGGCTCAATCCAGAAGGGGATGGCCGGCAGGGGCTCTCCTAGTGCCCAGAGACAGGCCCAGAGGTTTACAAGTTTTCTAAGCTTTTGATAATGTGAAGCTCCAGGCCGAGAGGATGCTGTTGAGCACATTGCAGCTATGTAATTTTTGGTGTATGTATGTAATATTTAAGGTTGGGAAAAAAAGCTCGAAAGCAAAGATATTAACTCTTATTAGAAAAAAAGACACAAAAAAAAAGCCAAAGCATGATGCGTCTTGTCAGCCTTAAGTGGGCTCCACACCTGTGCTGTGCTGTGACCGCCCAGCCAGCAGAGCTGCGGGACGACGGAGCCGGGCCACGCGCTGTGGCATTTGGAGCCGAGTCGGTATCTTGTTTGAGAAACACCCAGAGTGACTGGTGGGGCTGAGCTTCCCAGTGCATTGTACATGTGGAGATGTGAATGCCTACTGCTTACACTATCTGTATAAAGTGCTGTGTGATTAAACTTTTTTTTACTTGCATTTTTTTTTTTTTTTTTTTGGTTGGCTCATTAACAAGACAAGGTGACACCATTAAACCTGCCTCTGCCATTCATCTGGGCTTGGTTGCCTTTCTTCCTCTCTGGGGCACTGTGTGCTTGGGTCCCTCACAGGTACCCTTCCTGGGGAAGGAAAGAGCCTGTTGCCAGGGAAGGCATATGGCAGTGGGTCCTGGCTTCAGCACCACCACCTCACCCCCGCTCTCCACTCACCAGGTCTGCTTGCCCGCCTTTTGTACTTCCTGTCCTGGGGCAGTCCTCTGGCCTCTTCCTGGCTGGTGTTGTGCTCCTCAAGAGCCAGCTTAGAGCAGTCTTCCAGCAGCTGTGGTCCCCAGAGGCCTACAATTGACCAGTTCATCCAGTTCAGCTCCTTCCAGATTCTAGGAGAGCCAACATCATAGCACCTGGCGGTAGACAGGTGCCACAGCTCCTGGGCGCTAAGCCAAAATGGCTGCCCAGTTTAGGAGACTGACATCAATCCTTCCCTGCTGCATCTTTTCCACTCCTGCCTGGTATTCCTCCACAAGGACAAGTGGGGAAGGGAGGCAGCTGAGGGAGGCTGGGGGAACCCTAGACCTCTCATTGTGGGGGATGGCAGACTCCTTTTAAGAAGGTAACATACTGGCCATTATGGTGGCTCACACCTGTAATCCCAGCACTTTGGGAGGCAGAGGCAGGTGGATCACTGAGCTCAGGAGTTTGAGAGCAGCCTGGCCAACATGGTGAAACCCCGTCTCTACTAAAAATACAAAAATTAGCTGGACATGGTGGCAGGCATTTGTAATCCCAGCTACTCAGGAGGCTGATTGGGAGAATTGCTTGAACCCAGGAAGTGGAGGATGCAGTGAGCAAAAAAGGGTAAGATACTGCCCTTTTTTTTACTTCTGAAGTCTCTTGCTCCTTGCCAGTTTTGTGGGGTAGGTGGCAGTGTTTTTATTGTTTTTTTGAGACAGTCTCACTCTGTCACCCAGGCTGAAATGCAGTGGTATGATCTCAGCTCATTGTAGCCTCAACCTCCCAGGCTCAAGTGATTCTCCTGCCTCAGCCTCCCAAGTAGCTGCGACTACAAGTGCCCACCACCACACCGTGCTAATTTTTGTATTTTTTGTAGAGACGGGGTTTCACTGTGTTTCCCAGGCTGTTCTCAAACTCCTGAGCTCAGGTGATCCACCCACCTCGGCCTCCTAAAGTGCTGGAATTACAGGCATGAGCCATGGCACCTGGCCCACCAGTTCCCTCATGCCCTGAACTCAGACGTTTTCCCTCTCCTGCTAAATGGTCTCTGATGAGATTTGCTGGGACTAGCTAGTTGTGTGGCCCTAGCTAAGACATGCCAGCTCTGAGCTGCATCCTCCCTTGTATGGTCAGGCAGCTGGCTGAGCTCTGAGGCTGCTTCAGGGTGGAGGTGCTGTAAATTATCAGGGTGAGAGGCCCCCACCATTAGGCTGAACCAGCTCTGGTCCTGAGTCCCCCAACAGAATGCCTGGGGCCAGTAACATCCATTGCCCATCCCTGGGGGCACTATTGGCTATTGTTAACATTAAATTCCATAATCCTGGCTGGGGTGAGACCCCATTCCCTTCCCACTCACCAGGACAGGACCAGCAGGCTGGGAACATCACTTTATTTGGATTTGATTCATGGGGTGAGGGTCTTAGAACAAATTGGAGGGCCTTACACAGGCAGCTGGGCCCAGCCAGCTGGGCTTCTGACCCAGGACCTTGTTCTGGCCTGTCCTCCCAAAGCACAGCCTGCACCTTCTCCCACTTCTCCGGAGGAGTCCTTTCACCCCACAGGAGCTGTGGCCATGCCCTACAGCCCTGGGGAAGGAGGAAGGGTCCTACAAGTAGACACTAAGGCACAGCTCGGCCCAGGGGTCATAAGGGCTCTTCTGGAGGTGGTGTCTACTGGGGCTTCTGGCTGGGCGGGGGCTCCACACAACCGCTGACCATCCAGAAGTAGTTCGGGTGCACCTGGCCCTGCACAGCCTCGCTGACCATCAATTCACCATCCACTGCAAACACACCCCTCCCATCCTTGGGCTCCAGGCGGAAGGCGACCACAGGCACGTATACCAAGTAGGGGCATTCATACTCCATATGTCTGCCCTTCTCCATGGCCAGGAAGAGGCGCAGCAGCATAGCCCGAGACACACCTGCCCGCACGTAGAACAGATGCATGACACCGGCGGCACAGCGGCCCATGGGTGCCGCAAACATCTCGCTGCCCAGGTGCGAGTGCAGCAGTGCCAGCACCAGCACAAAGTCCTGGTCGGGCACCACTGTCCAGTGAGAGGGCACTGGCTCCTCCAGTGGCACAAGATGTGCATCTACCGGGCCCTGCTGGACTACAATGGGGGAGGCGGGTGTCTTGGCATCGGTTCTTCCTACAGGGAGGTAGGACAGTCGGCCGTGGTAGGTGCGCAGGGCTGCCAGGCGCAGGAAGGTGCCCAGAGTGAAACGCATCTCCCCCAAGCGCCGATACTTTTCACTTTCTAGGTCCACATCAGCAATGAAGCCCCAGGCCAGGCTGAGCACAGAGAAGAGGCGCAGCCCTGAAGCCGTGTGCAGTGACAGCAGGTTCATGGGCGACAGTAGCCGGCTGCACAGCAGCAGCGTGCAGTTGGTCAGGAGGTCTTCATTAGTAACCTGCTCATAGCTGCAGGGGAAAATGGTCAGATGAAGCAGGGCAGGAGCCCCCCCAGCTATCCCCTCTTCCTCCTCCCGGGGAGTGGGAGCTGGCAAAGCGCCATGTCATCCCTAGGGAGTTGGCAGGAGCAGTAAGTGACAGAAGGAGCAAGTGGCAGCAGCCAGCTGGGGTCACCAGGAGAGGGCCCCAGGACGAAGGGAAAGAGAGAATGGAAGTGACCTTGACCCATGGGAACTTAGACCAAAAAAACCCACAGGAGAGGGGCACAGAGGGGAGGCAGGCCCACTCTGGCCCTGGGCTCTCACCCAGCATAATGGTTCAAGGAAGCTGCCAGCGCGTTGCCAGAGCCTGCTGGGAGGCTGCACAGGGGCTTCCGAATGGCGGCCTCCCAGTCAGGCCGCTCCATGAGCCCGTTCACCACCTGTGTTGGAGCACACGTGGCCTCAGCCCGGGACGCACCGCGCCAAGCCCCAAGCCAAGCCGCGCGGTGCGGACCTCACCTCGTGCATCAGCCCGTCTCCAGACATGACCACCAGAGCGTCCCAGCGGCCCAGCTCCTCCGACCGCACCAGCTCCCGCGCATGGTTCCGCCGCTCTGCAGGAGGACGGGCAGCTGTCAGGACCCGGGGTCCCCTAACAGGGGATGCTCCCGGAACCCCCTCCGAGAAGTACCCACCAGTGAGCATCAGCGTGAAGGAGACTTCAGCCTCAGCCAGAAGGGGCTGCACGTGACTCCGGAAGAGCTGCAGGGCCTTGCCCTTGCCCCCGCGCGGGTTCAGCAGCACCAGCACGCGGCACGGCCGCGGGAGCAGGACCCGGGGGCCGCCCGCTGAAAAAACAGAGCCGAAGAGGCTGCGTCCGCAACCGGCCACTAGGGGGCCACGGGTAACGACAGGAGCGGCCTCCGCGGGGAGCCCTGGGGTGCGGACGCGGGGCCCTTGCCATCTCCTTCCTTGGCTCGGACTCGGCCGGCTTCTGGCCTCGTGAGGGGCAGTGTTTCTCCCGGGCGTCCACAGCCCCCTTCGTCCAGCTGGGCGTTCCATCATTCCTGGCGCGGAAGAGGAATCCCCCTACAGCCCGTCCCGGCAGGGCCCCCACAAACCTGGATCCATAACCCGCGGCTCCTGCTGCCAGGGGGTCCCCGGCGCTGTCGGGGTGCTGCCCGTGGCGGTGGCTCCTGCCTTCAGCTCCTTATCGGTGCTGCCCAGGCGGGCGTCGCAGGGCCGGCTGTGGGGCTCGCCCTCCCCGCCCGGAGCCAGGGCTGTGGGAGCACCGGCGTCATTCCCCGCGGCAGCTGGATCTAAGGGAGAGGAGAAGACGGCGCTGGCGGAGTCCCGGGCCGAGGCTCCCAGAGGTGGGGAGCGCCCGGCTAAATCCCGGGGCCAGGGGCGGGGAGGCACGCGATCCCACATCGCCCGAAGCTCGTGGGGCGGTGACCTAGGTTCCCGGGAGGTCAGAGAGCTGAGGTCTGGTGCCTCCGAGGGCGCCCCCGTCGTGTGAATAGGCCCTCCAACCCCCGAGGCGAAGGGTGCCTGCTCCGCGCCTTTCCTTCCTGGGGCTTGGGGTTCCGGCGCGACGGATGAGTCAGGGCCCCGCGGCTCCCTCCGACGGACTAGCTCCTCACCCCTCGGGGCTGCTGCCAGGGGGAGGGGAGCCCAGCTGCGTAAAAATCCCAGAACTTGAGTGGACATTGCCCGGCAAGAAGTTCTGGGCGAGGATCCCCGCCTCAGCCAGCCGGGATGCTGCGTCCCGTGCCCGGAGCTCCAGAGCGGTGGGAGCCGCGACGCGGGCCTCCCACCGCCCCGCTCCGTTGGGACGCGCGCGGCGCTTGGGGGAGTCGCTCCCGGGTCGCCCGAGTGCCGAGCCCGAGCCGGGCCACCAGCTGCCGCCTGCTCTCGCCCAAGCGACGAGTGGCCCAGTTCCCCGGGGCCCCGTGAGGGCGGGACGCACAGGAGCCACGAGCGGCGCGAAGGGAGGGTGGCCGGCCCTACCCAGTCGGTCCGGTTTGCTGGGGAAGCTCCACTGCCGTTCCCTACAGTGGCCTGGGGCGGAACGCAGCTCGTCCCAAGCTCAGCCCACGTCTGAGGGACTGGAGCGCCCCGCTGGAGCGGACTCCCCCGCCTCGCTCCCTCCGGCCTTAAACTTTTAGCTCAACTTCGCAGCCAGCGCCGCGGCGCGAAGCCTAGGCGCTGGCCTGGCTCCGCCCCGCGCTCCCGGGGGTGGAACCTGAGCGCCGCGCCGCGTCGGCCCCGCCCGCCCCCGGCCTCAGAGCGCCGCCTCCGGCACGGCCCGCGCCCACAGCAGTGCCACGCGCGGGCTCCCGCCCGGATCGCACGACGTGGTTGCGCGCCCCCGCCGCTCGTCCTAGGCATCCTAACCGTCTGTTTGGCGAGAAGGCGGCGCCGCGGCCCTGCAGGCTGAGCTGCGGCGACAGGCAACGAGGCACGGAGTCCGGGCCCGGCCGCCAGTGCAGCGTCTGGGGCGCGCGAAAGTGACCGCGCAGCGCAAGCAGAGGCGCAGGCTCCTCGCGAACTCGTGTGGGAGCGAACGCCGGGCGCTGGCGGTTCCGCTCTCCCTGGGGACCCTTGGCTTCACCTCGCCGCCCCGGGTGCTGCCCGCGCCGGGTTGCAGCGCCCCCTTTGCGCGCCCCGGCCCCAGCCCACCCGGAATTTGAGGCCGGGACGCCACCCGGGGCGCCTTCTTCATGCCGGAGCGTCTCGCCCGCCACCCGCGGGCTTCCCTGTTTCTTCCACCTCCGCTCTCCCGCGGAGGTTATTTTTAACTTCCCTACGCTGCATCTGGGCCACCGAGCACGAGGCCGCCTAGCGCGCTTTCCCGGGCAGAGCAGGCTACCGGCCGGGGGCTCCGGGTCGGAGAGGAGCGGTGACAGTGTAGGTGGGCCTAAGGGCTCCCGTCGGGATTGGAAAGCCAAGCATGGGGGCGTGTCCCCCGCCCCTTCTAGCTCCTCGGGAAGAAGGGGCACCGGAAACGCGCTCAGAAGTTGTCACCTCCTTGGAGGCCAGTGGGGACGCGTTTGTCCGTGTGTTTGTGATACACTCATCGCGGCAAGCCGCAGAACGTGTCCGCGAGCACCTCGAATTAGATCCCTGGGGGGTTATGGCGAGACAGAGGAAGAAGTTGCCAAGGCCCATTGGTGACCTGTCCAAGTAGGATCAGAGTTAGGAGAAACCAAGTCCCTGCGCGAGGCTGCGGGGCTTGCCCGCCCCTGCCGGCCCCACCCGCCCCCACACACCTCTCTCATCGCTTCTTAAAGTCGCGAAGAGGCAGGTCCGGGAGGAGCGCGCAGCCAATTAGCCGGGCAGCGCCCTGAACTCGGGCACGCCTCCTTGGTGTCTTCTCTTCGGGACGACCCAGGCGGCTAGGCCCAGTTTCCCAGCACTTGGGGGCCAGACAGGCGGGACCCGGGATTCCCCGGGCGGGGCGGGGGGCACAGACAGGGATGCGGGGTCCCTGGGGCCGCAGCTGCGCTCGCGTCTCGGCGAGTGCGTCTTCGCCCTGCCGGGACTCCCAGCGGTCCCGGCTGGGTCCGGAGCGTCCCGAGCGCGTTCCGGGAAGGTGACTCAGCGACGCGCTCACGGGTTGAAGAACTCCGAGAAACAGGAACGAGGGGAGGGAGCACGGGCGTCATCCCCGACTCCTGGCGTTGCGGCGCGCGTCCGCTAAGGTCGGGTCCTGCGCCTCCGGGCCTCCCCGCCCCCTCCCCTCAGGAATCCGGCGCAGGCGGGGGAGGAAGCGCCGCAGCCGCAGTGCCGCGGTCATGCGCTGCGGGGACGCGAGCGGCTGCGGGAGGAGGAGGCTCTGCGCGGGAGCCCAGGACCAGATCCGTCCGCCCCTTTCCTTTCCTCTTCCTTTTCCCCTCCTATCCCTCCAACGAGGGTAGGGTCCAGATCTGGACTTTGGTGCGCAGAAGACGCGAGTCGGAGGCTGTGCTCCTCGAAATCTCAGCCTCGGAGGTGACTGGCTGCGGAGACCAGCTGGGGTAGCCTTCCCTTTCTACTACCCGCTCCGGAGAGCATTTCCACCAAGTCTGAAAAGCTCCGTCGTTAGCCAGAGAGTCTGAAGAGGGGAAACTGAGGCACAGGGAAGACCTGTGAGTTCGTAGTGATAAGGCCCACCTGATCCCCCTTTTATTTTTCCTCCTGGAGCCCCAGAAAGGTCGGCTACTGTGGCTCCAGGCCCACTGCCACCAGCCCTGAATCCGCGGAGCGGGCGGGGGCGACACTGACTGGAAACTGAGTTGGCGAAGGCGGGCAGAGCAGTATGCTGAGCTCTTTATCCTGCAGCCTCTGTTCCTCAGCTCCCCTCCCAGCTCTGGAAGCCCCCCCACTCCGCGGGAGGGAGGCGAAGGGCAAAGCCCTCTGGCCCCGGTTCCAGGCCGCACAATGGCTCCTCTGTCCTCCCTGGCGCTTAACCCCTTGCCCCCTCACCTCCAAGGCCCCTGCCCCCCTCATTCTTGTCATTCGCTTCCCCTAACCCAGGCCGCCTTTCTCCAGACCCTTTTCCTCTTCTCCCTTTTTTTTTTTTCTTACTCGCATTCCCTCTGGAATGTCCAGATCTAGCTCCTTTCTCTTCTTTTCTAAAGAACTTGATCCTACCTCCAGAAACGCCTCAGCTGCATCCCCGCTCGGAGAGGCGGGATTGGGCAAAGCCAGATGCCGGTTCTCCTCCCCACAGCTGGGGGCGGGGGGCGCCTTGGATCTCTCAGGTCGCCAGCTTGGCCCGCTGCCCACTGTACTTCACTTCCTCTTTTAAAAAAGAAAAAAGGACAAAGCGTGAGGGGTTGGGGGGAACCGAAACCCTGAGAGGTGAAGAGTCTTGCACAAGCCTCCAGCCAGTTCCTGGCAAAGCAGAGAAGCAAACCCTTGAGCCCTGACCCCAGGCTGGGAAGCCAAGTCCAGCCAGAGCTCCCCTCCGGGCCTCTCGGTTACCCAGGCTGCTTCTCCCTGAAGGGTGGGGATCTGGTGGCCCGGTGGAGTGCTTGCTGCAGAGCTGTGGGGTCTCCCTAAGAAAGAGGAAGCAGCTCCAAGCCCTCCCCAGGCTTCATCCTGAACCTGGAGGATGAGCTTGGAAACAGGTGCGCAGTCACTGTGCCCAGCAAAGCCCAACGTGAGCCTGGCAACAGGGTTGGGCCAGCAGAGAGGTGATCACCAGCCCAGAGCTTGGCTCACAGGTAATCTGTCTCACAGGTGGGAGACTGTTTTTCTATCTTCCCAGCCTCTGCCTTCTGTGGGCAACCTCCCCAGGGAGACACACCTGAGAAACCCCTCTTTTCTTTTCCAGAGAAAGAAAAGCAGGCATTCACCTGGCCCAGCCCCAGCTCTCCAGAAACTGGAATCAAAGCCGCCAGATGGCAAATTACTTGCTTTTATGAGAAGATTCCTGTCATCTCACCCTTCCCTGAAGCTACCCTTCCCTAGCAGATTTCAGCTCCCTAATTGGATGGCCTCAAGGCCTCCCTTGACCTCAACTTCTTTCCTTTTTTTTTTTTGTCATGTAGTGTCTGTTGCCCAGGCTGGAGTGCAGGCGTGAGCCACCACACCTCGATGATTTTTGTATGTTTAATAGAGACGGGGTTTCACCATTTGGCCAAGCTGGTCTCAAACTCCTGACGTCAAGTGATCCACCTGACTCTGACTTCAAAAGTGCTGGGATTACAGGCCTGAGCCCCTGCTCAGCTTTTTCCTTTTTATGGTACTTTACTGTCTTGGGGGTGGGGCGTGGTTATAAGGACCAGGAAGGGAGGTTCCAGCTCACAGAAGCTTAGGGGCCCAGTGTGGTGACTCACGCCTGTAATTCCAGCACTTTGAGAGGCCGAGGCAAGCAGATCATGAGGTCAGGAGATAAACCGTCCTGGCCAACATGGTGAAACCCCATCTCTACTAAAAATACAAAAATTAGCTGGGTGTGGTGGCATGCATCTGTAGTCCCAGCTACTCGGGAGGCTTAGGCAGGAGAATTGCTTGAACCTGGAAGGCAGAGATGACAGTGAGCTGAGATCTCACCACTGCACCCCAGCCTGGAAACAGAGCAAGACCTTCTCCCTGCCAGCCTTTGATCTCAAAAAAAAAGAAAGAAAGAAAGAGCTTAGGGCTGACCGGGTGCAGTTTCTCACATCTGCAATCCCAGCACTCTAGGAGGCCAAGGTGGGTGGATCACAAAGTCAGGAGTTTGAGAACAGCCTTGCCAAGATGGTGAAACCCCGTCTCTACTAAAAATACAAAACTTAGCCGGGTGCAGTGGCACATGCCTGTAATCCCAGCCACTCAGGAGGCTGAGGCAGGAAAACTGCTTGAACCTGGGAGGTGGAGGTTGCTGAAATCGTGCCACTGCACTCTAGCCTGGGTGACAGAGCAAGACTCTGTCTCAAAAAAAACTTAGGGCCACCCCCACATGGCTTTCCATTCTGAGTTTCCTAGATGTTGTTTCCAGGTTGACCATGCCAGGCATTGGGGTGTAGGGGGTGCCACCTGCCACACATGGAGATCCAGGGGATCAGACTGGTCGTGCAGGATTCTTGGCTGCTTGCAGGGAGTGTGTGCTTTGCCCGAGTTTCTATTTCTCCCCAGTGGCTGGACTAATCTAGGTGTGTGGTAGGGTGACCCAGCTCTGTCCCTTGGGTAGTCTCCTTGTCCTCCTCCTTGCTGAGGCTGGGGACCCAGGTCTCCTCTGGCCTCTATCTGCCACATACCTTCACCTCCAGGCTGCTGACGGTTACTGCGATTCAGGGCGATTCGCTTCGGAGCCCTCTCAAGGTGGCGACCTGCACTCATACCCACTCCAGTTGCCTCAGCTGCCTGCCCAGCATCTGCGGGCAACTGTATTAGTTTACTGGTAGCGTAGACAACAGAAATTCCCTCTCACAGTTTTGGAGGCCTGGAAGTCAGAGCAAGGTGTCGAGGGGGTTGGTTCCTTCTGAGGCTGTGACT